GTATGCAGATACCCTCCGTCATACTTTTGGGACATTGGTGCCTCTGCCGTCCAAAAATTAGAGCATATATGCCCTTCACTCTAACGGAAGACTAAACAAGGACACGTGACACAATCTTATCTGTCCATCCGATATTTAATAAATGTCGAGTCGGTGGATAAGATTATGACACATGTATGTCCGTTAGTATAAAGGGTATATATGCTTTAGTTTTTGGACGGCAGGGGCACCAATGTCCCAAAAGTATGACGGAGGGTATCTGTATACCATTTACGATAATTCGAGTATATTTGTCTTTTTTCCCAATAATAAATAAAAAGCCACCAATGAAAAATCATCTTTAAAAATACCAAAAGAAAAGAAACCTCCAATCATAGTTCTTTATCCTTGTCTTTTCAGGTGTATGTTTATTGGTATCTGACCCCGTCAACTAGATATTTTTGTTACTAATTTTCAAATAGAGATGACTTTAAGATTTGAAGTTCTGACTTTAAGTCTATGTACAAATATAATTAAATTTATATTTAATACAATATATAAATTTTGGAGAAAAGATATTGATGTGAGCCTATTAGATATGCCTATGTTACTATATGCACTTAGTCAAAAAAATTCTAATAGGTGGTGGTTGACTTCTGAGATTTATGTCGACAAGTCCCATATTAAGAGATTATTAACATCAACAATGATAAGCCTAGTAAATTAAGGGATAACTAAAGCTCCGTAAAAATGTAACTCTATATTCAGAACGAATTCAAGACAATTGATTAAAGATGAAAGAGTTTTTATTGCTCCACCGCGACCAAAAAGCCATTCACTCCCCTATGATTGGCCAGATGAAAGTTCCATTGTGACATTGATTCTCACGTGCGACCCACTTTTCACACACCAACACACACTTTACTGTGTTTTTTTTTGTTGTGTTTGTGTGAATTGTGTCTGGTCTCCCCCCCCCCTCTACCCAACCAAGCCCCCCAACCCACAATGCCGTCTTGACCCTTTTTTCACAGAAAATCGAATCAGATTCCTTCTGTTGTCCCTCTCTGTTCACTGTTTTTTCTTGTTTTTTGGTTTGATCGATTGATGTCTTTGTTGTGGGACATGATCATAATCCTATGATTTATGTGGTAAGCTTTTTGTTAAATTATTATTGATTTTTTTGGTTTCCTCACAGATATGTTATCAGTTTTTTTTTGAGATTCTTGATTTAGTTGTTTATATTGTGGAAGTTGATGAGTTAAAAGATGAGATTTTTATTGTTCTAAAGGTCAGAACTTTAACTTGGTATGCTCTATGCATATTTCTGATTCTTGATTTTGAGTTTCAGGATTGGAATTTTTTTGAGTTAAAGATGGGATTTTTGGTTTCTAAAATATTTCCCTAAAGGTCAGAACTTTAACTTTGATTGTGCTTCTGTGTCTTTTCAGGAACCAGATTCTTGATTTGGGGTTTGTGGATTGGAAGTTGATGAGTTAAAGATGGGATTTTTGGCTTCTCAAATATTGCCCCAAAGGTCAAAACTTTAACTTGGTATGCTCTTATATTATTTCAGAAACCAGATTCTTGATTTGGGTTTTTAGCTGACTAATAGTGGGAATCAAGAAATTGTCTCTGGTAGAGTTATCATTTGGTAGTTTAGTTAAAAGGGCCTCTGGATATTCCATTTTTGGTTGATAATCTGGGGTTTGATTAGCTTATGAATGAATATCTTTCACCACATGTTTGCCTTTTCCTTGATAAGAATCCCTTATATTGTGATGTAGTTTGGAGATTTAAGTGGATCAATTGTATTGCTTGGACTATAACATTGTTTTCTAGGGGCCTGCTAGTTGCATTTGTTGTTGTAGTTGAGGGTATGGAGTACCTTCCTGTTGAGGTGATTGGGAACATTTTGTCCCGTGTTGGAGCTGCGCGAGATGTTGTGATAGCATCTTCTACTTGTCAGAAGTGGCGAGAGGCTTGGAGGAATCATCTTCATACACTCATGTTTAACTCGAATGACTGGCCTGTTTATCATGAGCTCACAAGGAGCAGACTTGAGATAATTGTAACTCAGACGATTTTCCAGACTAATGGACTGCATTGCCTTTCGATCATCATGGATGATGTCGACGAGTTCTCTGCTGCTCCGGTAATAGCTTGGCTAATGTATACCAGAGAAACGTTACGACAGTTACATTACAATGTCAGGACTACCCCAAACATTAATATACTCGAAAAATGTGGTCGCCAGAGACTAGAAGTGTTGGCTCTTGCACACAATACAATCACAGGTGTTGAACCTAGTTACCAAAAGTTTCCTTGTTTGAGGTCTCTTTCACTAAGTTATGTTAGTATATCGGCTTTAGACCTGAGTCTTTTCCTCACAGCCTGCCCAAAAGTTGAGGTCTTGAGTCTTGTTAGTATAGACATTGTTATGTCTGATCCACAGGCAACGATGGAGCTGACAAGTAACTCGTTGAAAGATATCTATGTTGAAGCCATTAGTTTGGATAAAATCATTCTGGAAGCGGATAGTCTTGAGAAGCTGCATCTGAAAGATTGTACACTTGAGGTCTTTGAGCTTGTTAGCAAGGGTTCATTGAGTCACCTTAAGATTGATGATGTTAGTGTCATCCATCTTGATATTGGCGAGAGTGCTGAAGATCTCGAGATTGTGGATGTCAGTAATTTCACAATCATGTGGTCCAAGTTCCATCACATGATAGCAAAATCATCGAAGCTGAAAAGACTGAGGCTATGGGGAGTTGTGTTTGACGATGAGGATGAGGCTGTGGATATTGAGACGATTTCCGCTTGCTTTCCACAATTAAGTCATCTATCATTGAGCTATGAACTAAGAGAGACAGCACTTCATTATGGATCGCAAGATTCTTTTCAATTGGAAAATGTAGTCGTCTTGGAGCTTGGATGGATGGTCATTGGCGACCTGTTCTCCCATTGGGTTGCAGGACTACTGGAAAGGTGCCCTAACCTGAGGAAGTTGGTAATCTACGGAGTCGTCTCAGAAACCAAAACACACGAAGAATGCCATACATTAGCCAACTTCACATCCTTTATTGTAAGGCTTATGAGGAAGTATTTGCATGTAGATGTTCAGTTCGAATATGAGTAGATTTTGAACAACTGCTGAGTTCAAAAATTTTCCTCATCTCGAGAGGGGAAGGAGGTACATGATCTTTAGTGGTGATTGTCTTTTTCCGTTTATTGTTACAACATTGTTTTCTATGATCAAATTTCGGACTCATCTTTTTCTTTCAATTCAAGTAAACATATCGTTTGCATTTCTTCTATCCTTGTTGTTCCTAGTTTGCGCATTGATATGCACGTCTTTATTATTGTTGTCAAATGTAAAAAAATGTAGCTAAGCACCAAGACGTATGGAGCTGTAACTGCAAAGTCAATTAAAATGGTGCTTTAATGAAAAAATAAGTGTTAAATGAAGAAAAGTAAGAAATGTACAATGTAAAGAAAAAATTACTAACTGCAATGAATTGAAAAATACAATGTAAAATTATGTCAATCAACTACAAAGACCATCTTCCGTTTCAGTTTGTTTCTCTTACTTTCCTTTACCCCCAAAATCCTACATGACATATTTAGACCACCAGATTCTAAGGGCATTTTAGTTCATTACTCACATCTTTAATTTAAGACCACAAGGTTTAAAAGTCTTTATTTTCTTCAACTCTATTCCGAGTCTAACTAAGACAAACAAATTGAAAAGGAGGGAGTTGTAGAAGCATGTCAAATGTTTTGAGATGCTTAGAAGTCAAAATGGCATGTGTACCTAAATTAGGTAAATTGGCCCTTCCTGCCAGTTGAGTTCTCTTTGTTGTTGGTTGCTTTCTAAATGACGATACCAAGTCGGTTTTTCCATTCAAGGAACCTTTTGCAATGCAGTGTTAAGATGAGGTGTTTTTCTTTTTCGTATTGTCTTTTCAACTTCTGGATGATACCTTATGGGCGTATAGGACGACACATAAGACTCCTGTTAGGATGTTGCTGTACTGATTGTTATTTCAAGAAGGAGAAACTCTGGATTAAAAGAACATGAATCATCGGTTTGTTGTAAGTCCCCTTACCAAATTCTTTGTTGCTCACATTATGTCTATCTTTAATGAAAGTTTTAAATCTCTATTCTTTTTCTTCCGTTATCAGCAATTTATGTGGCTCTTAGTCTTCTTCATTGTTTGATATTAGCATGAGATGAGTTTGAATGGCGTAGCATGGTCAGTGATGATTCATATATATAGCTGACCCCAATTTGTTTGAGACTGAGGCGTACTGTTGATGTTATTAGTCTTCTTCACCAATACAATGTGCTTCTCTATGACCCCCATCTTCTGTCGAGTCTTATGGGTAGTAAATGGTTCTGCATTCCTAGTGAAACACATCGCAAGTGGATATGGAGTATTCCGCAAGTTGGATGGACTAAAGGCAGATCCAGAATTTTAAATTTATGGGTTTTGGCCATAGCCCTTTTTGCTTATTGAGTTCTTAATAGATCATTTATACATTACACGATTACAATGATCGTATTATTTGTTGTTGCTAATGTTCTCTTTTTCAACATGGCTTCTTCACTATTGTATTTACTTTACTTGCTTGATTTTTGATATGCTTTACTTGAGCCGAGGGTTTATCGGAAACACCTCTTTACCTTCACAAGGTAGGGGTAAGGCTGCGTACACATATCTGCCAAATATGTTGAGCAAACTTTGTGCATTTTGGATTTAGAATCTATCTAGGTGAAACTGTACTTACAACGACAACAACATATCTCGTGTAAGCCCACAAGTGGGGTCTGGGGAAGGTGATGTGTGCACAACCTTATTTATCTCTACATTGTGAAGGTAGAAAGACTGTTTTCGAAAGACTGGGTGAAACCGTACTTAGTAACTAATGTTAGCATTTCCATTCCTTTTAACAGAACTTTTTGATTGAGGAAATTGAAATGCTTGTGCTGTTTTGAGAAATGGAAAGGTGAAAGTCAAAATTTTGTTAGAAACTGGATGAAGGACAATTCTTGTAAAAAGGTGGTTGTCTTCTCAGGTTCAAATCCTAGCGGAGACACCAACAAAATAACATTAGTTGATTTCTTCTCATCTACCTAAGTTTTGTTTTACAAAGTTACCCGAACAAGTATTGATCGGAGGTAATAAGTATTTGGTGGAATAGTATGATATGCGAGCAAGCTAGCTTTGACCCCACCGTCGTGAAAAAAAAAGTGATTGTCACACTCAAGTGTCACCTAGTGGTCAATGACGATGTTGGTTGAGAACCATGAGGTTGCAGGTTCAAATTCCAACAGAGGCGAAGACACTAGGTAATTTCTTCTCATCCACCTAAATCTTAGCGGACAAAGTTACCCGATACCTATGTTGATGGGGTATAGCTGATATTCGTGAAATTGTCGAAGTGCGAGTAAATTAGCCCGGACATCACCCTATTAAAGAAAAGGTAGTTGTCTTCATTACTACAATAGATTTTGCTGCTCCACCATAGTACAACTTCCCAGTATTTTCCATAGAAAATTCTACAAGAATTGTTTGAGAGCAAGATCATAAGTATGAATTTTTCCGCATCCGATGTTTACATCAATACTAATATAAATATCATTATGTCAACATGAGACGTTGAACATACCACATATCTGCGCAATGTGGTGTATAAACAATGTTAAATGTATGAATAGAACTATCCGATATCTAATATTGATGAGAAATAGTAAATATTCGATAAAATAATTGATATGTATGCAAGTTGATTCCCATTCTCCTTTTTATCATTGTTATTTGACAGATTTATTCCAAAGACTAAGATAAATATTAAGAATACTAATAAGCTGAAAAATACATCTGATAATTATTTGATATTTAGTGTTATTTATTGGTGAAATAGAGACAGAATAATAAATCATAAATCTATTTCATTGACTAAAAGAAAAAGAATCAATAAGAATCTTATTGTTTTTGACAGATTTGAATATAAAATCTTTTATTTTATGAAAGGAAATAATTAATATTAAGAATCATTTAAGAGTTGTGCCCACACATTTTGACTTTTTTTCCCAAGTTGGTGCCTAGGTTGTATGCACCTATAAGTATTTCATTTATATTTTCTATTTTCATCAGTATAAATATCGAATAATTTTACAAACTAAATTTTAAAATAATCACATCACTAAATATTATTTATGTCGATGATAACACCACTTAGATCAAATGATGATTTTTTTTTTATATTCCACAAGATTTATGGTCAAAATTTTGACAATTATCATAATAATTTTGACGATTCATTTAAAAAAATTAATTTTTTTTGACAATTATTATAACTTGTTATTTATTTTAGTCTTCTTGACAACTGGCAACCCAAAAAATCATTTTAAATTTGACTAGTAATAAAATATATAAAAGAGTAGCACCTCAAGCATGTTTCATGATTTGTTTGGTAGTTGGGAATATAAATCATGGGGTGGCCCAAAGAAAAATTATGATGTTACGTCAAGTTATATTGACATATGATAATTAAATTAAAAAAATGAAGATGAAAATACATACATATTAATTAATTTTAAGATGATAAGAATATTTATAAAGGACACTTTTGTTATTTATTGCGTCACACATTGCTAAAAAAAGTTTCAAAAGTTTAAGAGCCGATAATAGAGTTATTTTTAGAAATTTAAGGTCATATCGATTCATTCTATCAATGAAATTTATTGAGAATCATGAGATCTTGGGTTGAAGTTTCATCAAAGGCAAAAATACTATTAAGTAATTTCTTTTTATTTGTCCAAAATCTTGATTAATAGAGTTATTTGATATTCTATCTATGTTGATGGAACGTAGCAGGCAACTCACAAAATTACTCAAAATAAATGCAGGAGTAATAGATACCTCATATAATTAATCGAGGTACGAATAAATCAGCCTAAACATCACACTTATATATAAAAAAGTTATGAGTACATCCTAACACAATAAACTCTTTTAATCATGACCCTATATATATGTTAACATCTAAAAGACTTCAAATTTAATACATTTTCCGTTACAAAATAAGTGTCATTTTAGGAATTTCAACAATAATTAATAGTAATTGTTTCATCTATACCGTTATATTAAAAAAAAAAATCTTCTCAATAGTGTTCAGTTCTCAAGAAACATATACTAATAAGTAGATACAACTTAAAAAATGACACGTTACATTTATTAGAACAGAAGGAGTAAATCAAGTGAGATGTGATGAAATTCTGAGCTCGAACCAATAAAGTTTAAATCTTGAATCTGCGTCATCGGGGCATATATAAGAAGACTTTTGAGCAATTGTGAGGTCACAATAAGACATTTTATTATCCAACCAAGAAACAAACATTTATTGCAAAATGGAGAGATTTTTTACAAGTTTTGAGCAACTTCCAGAAGATATAATCATGGAGATATTATCAATTTTGCCTGTGAAATCTATACTGAAACTCAAATCTGTGTGCAAATACTGGTACACACTTATTCAATCTCCAAATTTTATTATCAAACATTTTTTCCACAAAAAAAATTATGAAATTCCCTTTGTTCATCTCTATTTTTTTGACACTAATCAATTATCTATTTCAATTGATGAATACCCTTTGCTTCAAGATTTATACTTGCACAAATCCACTTCTTTAAAGCCATTAATTGGCCCTTTGAATGGACTTTTTTTTGTGCATAATCTTGATAAGAATGAAATGTCTATGTGGAATCCTGCAACTGAGGAAATCAAGAAAATATCAGTACCAAGTCCACCTTTTTCTACTTGTTTTAGGGGTATCTGTTGTTCGGACTCTTCAAAAATGTTGCAGCACTCGTGTCAGATCCTCCAGAAATGCACTGTTTCTAGATGTTCTGACACATTTTTAAAGAGTTCGAGCGACATAGATTTGAGGTTATGTTGTTCGGATTCTTCAAAAGTGTTGTTGCACCCGTGTTGGTTCCTCCAGAAATGCTCTGCTTCTGGAGGTTCCGAAATGCACCCGTCGGTGTTATGTTGCTCGGACTCTCCAGAAATGTTGTTGCATTCGTGTCAGATCCTCCAGAAATGTGCTGCTTCTGGAGAATCCGACATGCACCCGTCGGCATTTTTTAAGAGTCCGAACAACAATGATTGCAAGCTATGTCGCTTGGACTCTCCAAAAATGTTGTCGCACCCGTGTCAGATCCTCCAAAAATGTGCTGCTTCTGGAGATACCAGCACACATCCATCGACATTTTTGAAGAGTTCGAGTGACAATGATTATAGGGTATCTTGCTCGAACTCCACAGAAATGTTGCCGTATTCGTGTCGGATTCTCCAGAAATGTACTGCTTCTGAAGGTTCTGACACACACCCTTCGATATTTTCGAAGAGTCTGAGGTCTTATGCTCATCATTTTGGATTTGGAATGGACCCGTTTAGTAAAGATTACAAAGTTGTATGGATAAGAGATTATTTTTGGAAGGAAGAAACATTTACAAGAAGTGCATCAGCTGTTGTTTCAGTTTATACACTAAGTACTGATTCTTGGAGGCATTTTGAAGACAATACATTTTTGAGTAGTCATATAATCATGTCATATTTTGATTCATATCTTGACGGATTTTATTACTGGAAGAAAATCGACGAAAAACGACGTTGCGAAATTCTTGCATTTGATTTTAGAAATGAAGAATTTCAAGTGATACAAACTCCAGATGTGTTCAATTCAAATTTAGGAACACTTGGTTTGTATGATGGTTATGTTTCTATGTTGTTTCATTATCTTGTTGAAAGTAAGACATGTACTGAGATTTGGGTGATGGAAAAGTTTGGATTTTGGACTAAAAAATTGGTTCTTGAATCCACTTTGATTGTTAAAAGACCAATTGGATATGGTGTCAATGGGGAAATTTTTGTTGAAACTAAAAGTTCAAATCTTGAAATGATTGATCCAAGAACACAAGAGATTGTTGAGTGTGTGGGACCAATATTGGGAAATGGTTACTCTTTGCAAGTTCTTGTTTACAAGAAGAGCTTAGTTTCCATCAACAAATTGACTACTTGTAACTTAATCAAAGGTCTCGAGTTCGAGCAATTGGGAATCTGAGTTAGTCAGAACAGTAAAGTGAGTAGCCGACACTGCGTGAGAATCAAGAATGAGAAAAACTTGCCATGATTGATCCAATAACACAAGTAATTGTAGATATGGACCATGGGAAAATGGTTACTCTTTGCAAGTACTCTTGTTTACAAGAAGAGCTTAGTTTCCATCAAGAAATTGGTTAAACTTAATCAGAAGTCTCAAGTTTGAGTCATGAGAATGGAAAGAATCCCGCAGGTTGTGAGTGCTTTCTCTTTTAGTGAATGTTACACGATGTGAATTTGAATGAGTCAGAATAGTAAAGTGAGTACCGAAAACCGGGTGATCACCCCAAAAAAACTTGCAATGATTGATCAAAGAACACAAGAAACTATTGACTGTCTTGGACCATGGGAAAATGGCTACTCTTTGCAATTAGTTTTTGTTTACAAGAAGAGTTTAGTTTAGTTTACATCAAGAAATTGAGTTGTAGTAACTTGAAAACATGTTATGCACTTTTTCTTTAGCTATCCTAATAATTTATTTATTAGCAAGAAGGCTAAATTTCTATATATTTCCTTGTATTTTGGAGTACTAGCATGTTCATTTGGTAAGCGGAAAATTTCTAAGAGTCAGTAAACACGATTTTATAACAGATACGCCTTTGTTCATCACTATTTAAATACTAAGTTTTTTATCTGCGATAAAATTTGACTATAGAATTTATATCTAGATCACTTTACGCTCTTACCACTAAACCAAATTTAAATCATTGATAGATAGTTTGAATTAGTTAGTAAATTGAAACATGTTCTCATAGCATTAAACAAAGTGTGAACAAAAAAATAGTGGGAAAATAATGAGACAAAAAAACTTGAATACCTCAAAAACACAGACACATGTTGCAAAACCCTATTTTTCAAGTCTTTTAATTTTTTCAATATTTTATTTTAAAAAGTTTGCTTTTTCTATGTGGAATATTTCATAATTTTTAAGTACATAAAAGACAAAAGATTGATGTATTTTTATTTTTGGATCTGTGTGGAAAGGGAATATTTTTTTTGGAGCAAGGACAAATCTGCATTGATTAAAATGAAAGGGGTTCAAATTTCAAAAGTTAAATGAGTTTTTATATAGCATTTTTTTATGTTCCTAAAAGATTTTGAATTATCGTGATTTATAATATTTAAATTATATATTAAAAAATTATGTATCAATTCAAATGAAGGTGTTACTGTTCGAGGAGTCAAACTATTTTTTCTTTGATTCTTTGAACATAATTTTTAAAACTTTTTAAAATATTTTGAATCATTAATTATATAGTCTTGTAGTAATTTTAAAATATTTATAGAATTTATATCCGAACTTATAATAAGAATTTAGTGTTTTGACCTTCAACTCTAGACTCTTTCACATAAATTTTGACAAAGAAATAACTTTTATTTAAAAATTCATGACTATTGAACTTTTATAAAAATAGATTATATCAAGCTTATGTTTCAAGTCAAGGGATTCAATCCTCATATATATCATATATTGTTTTTTGTGATCCCCCCTGTTTATATCGATGTAATTTTATTTTATTCGAAATTTAAGTTGTGTCATATAAATTAGAACGGAGAAAATATTTATAAGATGTATAATTAAAAACTCATCTACAACACAACATGTGCATTCAATCATCACTTTTTACGATGTGCTTTCCAATCTCAATAAATATTTTTATAAAAATAAGTCTGCATTGTACTTTCAACTAATTAAACATTGCAATACCTGTCAAAAATTCACTAATTAATTATTTTTTTTTGTTTTTTATGTTTTGGTACTTTTTAACTTTGGAGTAAAAATTACATATGCCAATGCTAACTAATTAGTGTAATACTAAATTTTTTTATATTGTCAATATAAAGTTTTATGTATAAATTAAATTCTTAACAAATTATCCTAGCCTTTATCGATTTATGAGAAAGCTTATTTTTTACTCTTAAGTGGTCATCATGTCATTCTTTTCTGTAATTCCTCATCTTGAGTCAGCGCGGATTATAAATGAATTAGATCTTCTTTTTAATTATTCTTTTGATAGGATGTAATTGTTCGTAGGATATATGTAGATTGACTAACAACTATATATACTAGGACAAATTACAGAAATCACATACTTTAAAGGTAAAATTACAATTTATCCCTTAAAAGTTTATAATTACAGAAATCCCTCATTTTCGCGCATCAAATTAGTGTATCAACGCTTATATTATTGTATCTAGCGCATCAGATTAATGTATCAACGCTTATATTATTATATCACGCGCATCAGATTAATGTATTAGTGCTTATATTATTGTATCTCGCGCATGTATCAGCACTTATATAGCTCTAATACATTAATCTGATGCGCGAGATACAATAATATAAGCGCTGATACATTAATCTGATGTGCGAGATACAATAATATAAGCGATGATACACTAATTTGATGCGCGAAAATGAGGGATTTTGGAGATTTGTAAAACTTATAGAGGATAATGGTAATAAGTAAACTTAAATGTGGGATTTCTATAATTTTTCCTATATACTTTTACCTTAATGGTAAAATGTGTAACTTCTCCATTATGAGAACTCTAACGAGTCCTTCTATTATGGATTTTATTGGGTCAAGCCCACACTCACCGCATAAATGGGAGAAAAAGAGTAAAAGGTTGAACCGGTTAGGGCCACGACCGGAATCGAACCGTGGCCCAAACTAGTATTAATGGGTTATAAGTTGGGTTATGTTTTGGGCCCTCCCCTTCTTGCAAATAGCCCAAGATTCAACGAAGGTAGTGGACTGGGCCAACAAACAAAGCCCACTAGCCTTTGAACTAATTAGTTGGGCCTGAAGACAACAGCCCATTGGACACCATTTAAGAGCATATAGATATTTTGCAAATGCTAGCTAATCCATTTAAATTAGGGCCAATCTCCACTATTCAAGGAAAATTCGATTCTACAAATGTTATTTTAGTTATATAGTCTTTTTTGTCAAATAAATTGCACGTATAACCTTTTCCCATAGTGCCATTTAAGGCGCAACTACATTTTTAGGAAATTGCATTTGTAGCCGGTTAAAGGGTTTAAACATTAAAATCATCATTGTTATAAGTTTAAAGAAGTGAGTTTTGAATTATGAATATGAAAATTGAGGTTAAATAAAGTGGATGTTATTGGAAAAACATTAAAATATTGATAGAAATGAAAATTGGTCGTTCAAACTTCAGAAAAACTAATTTTATTTTCGAAACATATATGTTTGAAACTTCTAACATACATGTTTGAAACTTCTAACATACATATGTTTGAAACTTCTAATACATGTTTGAAACTTCTAACATACATGTTTGAAACTTCTAACATACATGTTTGAAACTTCTAACATACATGTTTGAAACTTCTAACATACATGTTTGAAGTTTGCAATTTTGATTGTGTATGCTTTAAGTTGATTCCAAAGCAAGTTAAAACTATAAATTTCTTATGTAGCTATAGCTTAAATAGTAACCTCAAAATTAGATATCTATAAACTTTTTCTCTTTTTTTTTTATACCGAAAATCAATAAAATATAATACAAATGATCAATATATGATATATTAAAAAATTATACGGTCATTTTCTTCTATTTAAATTGTGCTTGTCAATTATATTAAGTGGTCATTTTCTAAATATGATTTCCAAATAGGGAAAAAGTTTCACTCTATATTCACACAAAGTTTCCACATTTTATTAGGTGAACACCATAGTGTTGAATTTTGGTACATAATAGGACCATAGAAGAAATTTGCTAGATGATTAAAAAAAAGTGTAGCCTTCAACATTATTAAAAATAGATTGGTAATGATTATGAAAGGACAAGTGGCCAACTGATATAAAGACTTTATAAAGTTTTTGTTGAAGTCTATATTTGAATAGTAGCTCTTATAATAATCCTTTTTTTTTCTTTTATTTACTTTAAGCTCTTTGTGTTTACCTTCATTACCACATCCAATTTCTTTCTAAAATTCTTTTTTCAATTGATAATATAATAATTTATTTAATATTTCTTGAGATAATTAGTTTTTGTTAGATTTAATTTGAAAAGTAACTAAAGATATCAAATAGCGTCGTTAAATTTCAAAAATTACATCAGACATCAGAAACATATCAAATATAACGAATATTGTACCTAAAAACACTATACATGACAATAGAAATAAATAAAACGGAAAATGGTCAAAATTGCTCCTGAACTATACGAAATAGATTACTTATATATACCATTAGTTACATTTTGGGACAAAAAATGCCCTCGTCGTTATCCTAAGAGACCACAAATATCTTCAAGAGTTAACACCCTAAGATTTTTAGTGACGTGGCAAGCCACGTGGGACTAATCCTTCCACCTAAGCGTTACCAACTAGGATTCACTACAAAAGAACTAGACCTTTAGCGGCGATAGCAGTCGCCATAAAAGCCCAGAATATACTTACTAAAAAAAATTTAACATTAAATTCTGATTTTGTGTTTTTTTCTTCATTATTTAAAAAAAACCAAAATTGATATCGATTAAGAAGGAGTTTGAAGACACTATATGTTTTTTTTATGTCATATGTAAATGTATAAAATGTACAATGATGCATTATGTAGTAGGGATTTTGTCACGACCCAAAAATGGATGTGATGACACTTGTCTTATCCCACAAAGACAAGTCAGCTTAAAACCCAATCATTTAGATAAAATGTGGAAATAAAACAAAAGTCCAATAACAATTACTAAACGGATAACAAGTCGACTTAACTAAATCCCCAAAACCTGGTTGTCACGTGTACAAGCCTCTAAAGTATTACAATTGATTCAAAAGAAAAAAACACAAGTCTCATATGACATTGTTTCTAGAATAGAACAGGATCATAAATAGGAGTAAGTAGGTCCACTGAGATGACAAACAACTACCTCACAAATCTCCAAAAAGCCTCGGAAAATAAGAGAATGAAAAGTATCTCAAAAATCCAGGCTCGTAACCTACAAAAATTGTAGAAGCAAGGGGTGAGTACCAAACCACACGGTACTCAGCAAGTAAACCTCTAAACACAAGCTAAGGGGATAGAATACGGGTACTCCTTACACACCAACCGAACCTCCACAACTACAACCTGCATAACACCAGCCCAACCTAACAATTCATAGTTTATATAGCACCCAGCTCAACAACAATCATTTTAACAAAGTACATATCCTCAACAACAAACTCAATATTCATCAATCACAACTTCCACAAAAAGGCACTCACAAATATCAGCAACACACAAGATCAAGTTCATCAAATAGAGGTAATCAAATATCAAGTACTTTCTAACCACCAATAAAACACATAATCATTAAGAATGAACTATGTCATGGGATGCAATGCAATATGACACCATGAACTGATATGCCTCAGAATACCAAGTACTCTCTCAACCGTATATACATGATACTCCTCGGAAATACATCGAGAGTTCATGACCCATGGGGGACTCGCGAGGTCCATATACCGACA